ACTATTTCTTTGTTTAGATTTGATCTATCAGATTGGGTAGACGAAGAACTGTAAGCAACAATTTCTCATAAGTGATTCCACATAAACTTTTCTGTAGGCTTAAACAGGCTATTAGACAAATAATAGCACAAACAATTCACACATTTCAAACAGGAAAGCTTTACTAGATGGTTGTACGAAAGGCATCGACGCGAAAGCGTAATGTATATATTTGTTTATCCATAAACCATTTTTATTGTTTGTGACCTTTAATGTGAAAATAAACTTTCCAAGTATAAGAAAACTTTTGCCAATAAAAGTATTTATGTATATAAAAACGTTGCATAGGCAGCATTGCTATTTCATACATAAAGTTTGCCTATTTGCTGTGAGAAATTAATTTAATTGGTGGTGAGATTTCTGATATTGATAAGATGATAAGCCTTCAAATCGAAATCAGTTCGATAGCAATAAAGTCGAACGTAATAAAAGTGGAATAGTAAAAGTAGTAAATAAATGTCAAACAGCTATTAAGAAAACCAGATGGGGAAATTAAGTTACAAAACGCTATGGTAGTTAAGGCGTTTCCTTGTGTGGCTTTTATTTTTCGTGACAAAGTGATAATTTAATTCACGCACTTGCCAGTCACAGCTAAGCTGTAATGCACGTTCTAACTGGCATGACATGCGTACTTAATTATTGTACTCAATACATACATACATAGAAAACTTGCTTCCTTCTTATTCTGCCTATAATTCTTATTAAGGCGCGGCCTATGAATTTGAAGGGAGGTTTATATGGCTTAATTTGAAACCAACCAATAATCCATTCTGCACGCTAGGAATTTATAGTAAAGACTAGTATAGCTGTATTCTATCCCATTTGCAACGGAGATTTGCACATTAGAGCATACCAGAAAAAGAAGTTTGATGTTCACCACTGAGTCTAAAATATTTTTACAAGACAAGTTCGAAAATTTTATTTCTTTTTCTTGTTTTGTGGATATTTTTTTTTTGTTTCAAAGTTCATTGATTTTAAGTACCTATCAGCAATGCCAGTAAATTAAAGCTCACAAAAAATCATTAAAATTTTTCCAGGGAAGTATTTTGATTATTAAAAGGCGACCCCTAGGTTTGGTAAGGTTAGGTTTGGTTTAGAGGGCTACCGCCGTGGGTGGACGCACACGTAAACATCGATTTATGTTATCCATTGTGGTTTCCTTAAGAGGGGAAGAAAAAATATACAACGAGGGACGGATGATAAAGGAGATGTTAAAAACCGAGGGTGGGTAGGAACAGATTGATTACATCTAAGGATTCTTATAAGAAAAACGCCCTGTACTCACCACGAAGCTCCTCAAGAGACTGATATCCATTGCCGAAAGGTAATCGGGAGTTTCCGGCGATTAATTTGTGACTCGGTACCCTTATGAATTAGCTCAATAGCGTAGTAATACGATGCCACCGATAAGGAGAAAGCTGCTTGGGTGTCGGAAAAGATATTGACCTTCTCTAAAGATGTTACACTAGTGCGCAACCAGACCGGAAAGCCTCCTGGCAATAGCCTAAATTTCAGCTTTTATCTGTCCTAAAATATGTTTAAGGGACCTAGGTTCGGCAAAAAAAAATCGAAATTTCCTTGCAAAAATATTGAGTGTACAGCGAACGTATTTTGGTTTGCTTGTAAGGTGGTACGGTCTAATGTACATATGTATGTATATGTAGTACAATATTAATTACTGCCTTGTTAGATAAACATATGCATATAGTATGTACATATTCATGCAGACATATATATGTATATTGAAAACCCATGAGACTTGAAATCACTCCGTTTTCTGTATAGACAGTTTTATTGAATTTTGCTTCACTAATTGAATGAATTATTCATGTCACCATTTTGGTGTCGCCAAGAGGTCTGCTTGAGTTTACTAATTTTTTTGGCAATACTGCGATATTAAATGCTATAGAATTATGCCGACTTTCTTACTTAGAGGGCCAGTCTCTGTATATGTATATTTTTTGATTAAAAATGTATGTATGTATGTATAATTAATGTAAAAGTAATATTTTCGCTAGAGAAGAGTTAATTGCCCAAGGGTGGATAATTGTTTTTAAAAATATCCTGGTTAACTATATTAAGTTTGACTTTTAAAACAACTAGCAACAACTTAACTAACTTAATCTCTCACAAAATTGCGCTGGAACTGGTGGCAACTCTCTTGAAAAGCTTTCTCTCGTTTGACATCAATTTTAAAACATTACCTTTAATATAACACCTGTACTGATTTTTAATTAATAAACAGGTGGCAACCATCTTTCAAACTATTTTCCAAATAAAGCTTTTTAAGCCTCTATCGTGTGATGCCCATAAGAAAATATAGATTCAGGTTGTTAATTAGATAAACTACTAATTTGTAAACCCGTCTAAAAAATATGAATAAAGAAATAAAGCCTCCCTAAACTCTTTTCGATTGACATTTATAAATACGAAACGGTTTCAATTAACTTATTAATAATTTTTTTTAGCAGGTGGCAACCCTCTTCATGAGAAATTTAGAAATAAAGCCGATTTTAACTTCTCTCGTTTCAAACCCAGATAAAAATATTCCATTTAACTTATTAATTAAATTGATTTTGAGTTTATAAACAGCTGCTAACCAACTTCCAAATATATTCGAAAAAAGGTCTACTAAAATCTCTCGAGTTTGATATCCAAATTAAAATATTTCTTTCAATTTCCATAAATACTTATAAATTGTTTGTGGATTTCTAAACCGGTAGTAATCCTCTTGCACACTAATTCCAAAAAAAAGTTTTTGTTAACCTCTCTCGTTTGATGCCGATATTAATATATATGACTGAACTTGCATCTTATATTAATTTTTAATTTTCTTAACGGGTAGCAACGCTTTTCAAAACTATCTTCGGAACAAATCGTTTTTGAATTTAAATACCGCTTTTAAAGCAATAAGTTGGTTGCGGAAGTTATTAAAAATCAATAAAATTTCCAAGAAATAAAAATTTGAAATACTCGTGAATAAATATGTACCATTCCTGGAAAACGTTTAAATATTCTAACCTAACAACTTGTTAGTAACAAGTGAACGTAATATAACAAACCAAATTTAAAATTTTGTGAGTTTATAATTTAAAATTTTGTGTTTAATAAAAAACGAAAAACGATTTGATAAGCTAAAAATCGAGTTCATTTTATTCATTTGCTTATTACAAACTACACTTAACGTGGACACATTATTGTTCTGCCTCCGTCGACAGGCAAATTTGAGCCCGTTATGAAGCTGGCAGTATCACTAGCCAAGAAAATAATAGCATCAGCCACTTCTTGAGTGGTACCCACGCGTCCCAAAGCATGCGTCTCCTTACCGCGCTCCAAAAATTTGGCATAATCTTCCTTCGACATTCCCATACGTAAGACAAAATCAGTAACTATCACCGCAGGGTTGACTGCATTCACGCGCACATTATGTGGCGCCAAGTCGAGGGCAATGCATCTGGTAAACTGATCCAGCGCCGCCTTTGAAGTACAATAGACAGAGAAACCCGCGCCTGCACGCAAACCGGCGACACTAGAGACATTCACAATGTTACCTTGCGTTTTGATCAAATGTGGCGCAGCGAATTTGGTCAGAAGGAAAACCGAACGCAAATTAGTATTTAAAATCGTATCGAATTGATCGACGTCAATGTCTAAAATATGACCACCTGCACCTATGCCAGCATTATTCACCAGCACATCCAATTTACCGAATTTCGTAACTGTTTCTTTTATAATACGCTCCGCATCTACCGTCACGTCAGCAGTGATAAGCAATAATTCCGCTTTGTTGTTAATTGCTTTGCAGGACTTTTCAGTAGCTTTCAAGTTAGCTTCATTTCGGCCGACGAGCACTACCTTAGCGCCATGCTTAGCGAAGGCTTCTGCTGTGGTGGCGCCAATCCCTGAGCTAGCTCCTGTCACAATTACCACTTTCCCGGCTAGAGACATTTGATGAACTATTCCACTTGACAGCGAAAAATGAAATGAAATAATTTTAACGAATGAACGCGACTATTTATACATACGTACATATGTATGTGTGTTTAGTAATTGAACTAATCAATATGCATACATACCTACATATGTATGAATATATGCTACTTGGTTCCCGGTAGGGAAACGCAGCAGTACCGATCCGGTTCTGCTCTAGAGAATTTATAGCCATGACTAGTTCGAATTAATTATTTTTTGAACAAAAAATTGATGTAGCATACTTTGAGATCCGACAGTAAATGCCGAAGATATGAGGAAAAATGTCAAGAGGTAAGTAACCCTAGGCTCGGTAAGACTAAATATTTCTTTTTTCGAAGGTGCCTTGCAAAAATACTTTAGACTCAGGGTTGTATGGCAAACTTATGTATTATTTTCGGTACGGTTTATATTTTGAAAAGTAAAATAAAGACGATCATGTTTAGAAAACAAAACATCTCAAAACACTTTTTTCGGGTTACCAAATTTTACATTCTTGAAACCGGGACGCACAATAAGTCTGTTCCTTTGCTCGTCCACAGGTGGTCGAAAGTGCCCAATTTGTGTTTGTTTGGTTGGCTCTTGAGAGCCACTCTGAGCGAGTAATATTTGCTCTCACTAGCCAGAAGTCGGGCAGACTATTTTCTTGACGAGTTTGTGAAGAATGTCTAACTGCCAGGAGAAGAGGAAAAATTTAAACATTCAAATTTTAGCTAAGAAATATGTGCATGTTTAGCTGTTTTTCTTTGATTGATAAGTGAAAAATATCAAGTGAACCATTAGTTTAACGTTATTGTGTTTGCTGTCGCTCAAATCTTAAATTTATAATTTTGTTCAATTTGACGTTTAGAGCTCTTCCGTACCTGCCGTCCTTATCATCATATGAAATACTGTTGGTAGAGAGAGAGAGAGAGAGAGAGAGAGAGAGAGAGAGAGAGAAAGAAGCAACGGCAACGTCTCCGTAAGTTTTCGGTAACACGAGAATCCTATAAGATAGGTCGTGTCAGCTGACACGGTCTACGGTTTTACGTTTCGGCCACGAAAATGGGTTTTTTGCGTTCTCTTTGTTTGGGCAGTTGAAATTCGATTTTTTCCTAATTTCGAATATTGACCAACCGTTCGATTATTCGGTTCGAAATTTTGTGAGGCAAATTTGATTTAATTCGAACTTTTTCGATTTTTTTTTAATTTCAAAAGGGTGTCTGTAAGAATGATAACTCAAATCGAAGAAGAGTTTCAATTGAACTTACTTTAATGTGATTAATTATCCGTAACGTTCGTTGTTTCACAACCAAAAATAAATACTAATAAGTATTTTGTTGAAATAAATATCTCAAAAAAATTTCAAAAATTTATCAAATATACCATGTATTTTTTTAGTATCAATTAAAAACTAACAAAATGTAGATATATTCAAACTAAGGCACATTGAACAGGTAGTATCAGTAGAGCAGCTGATTTGACTTTTTTTTGCAAATTATTTGACCTCTAAAATGTCAAATATTCCTAATTTCTTCCCTCAGAAATTTTAAATAATGAAATAGTGAAACCTTTTTCCATACAAAACAAGAGATTAAATAGCAGGTTTTGGAACGTTCACCCAACTCAGTAGCACATGATGACGCTGATGATTTTCCAATTTCAATCTTTTATTTTATTGTTTTTTGTATTTCACATAGCACACCTTGATTTAAAAGACACAAATCAGACCAGATTTTGACATTTCAGATACTAGAAACAACAACAAAATACACGTAAATGTTGTTTTTGCTCTAAAGCTACTACCTGTTTGGTATGCCCTGTTTGAAACTAATTTTTCTGCACATACATACATATAATGTGCGTTTAGTTATTTATTTTTGTTTTTAAAAACAAAAGCAATTTGTATATCCTTTACGCGACATACATACATATATATTTTTCGTATGCGGAAACGTTCAGAAAACGATTTCCATTCTTGTTAATTTTTCATATCAGAAAAATGTCATCGATTGTTCCATTTTCGTGTATATTTTTAATCGCAAAAATCGATTTTTATATACGATACATCGATGCATCAGCTTGAAAAAACATCGATGTATTTTTTGACAAGCACATGTGATGCCAAATTTGGTCAGAAAGAAGAAAGTTGCAGAGTTTATATTTTTTTTTTTAATAAACACGAAATTCGATTTTTTCTAGAAAAATTCGATTTTATCCGAATTTTAGCATCACAAAGTTCGATTTCGAAAATTCGCCATTTTGGAGCTAAAATTCGATGAAAACTCGAATCTCGAAGCTTCGAATATCGAGTTTACCCATCCCTAATACTGATAACTCACTCCTTTCGAATATCCGTGACTTGG